GTGGTATGTCTTATGAGTTATTTGAGGAGTTGGCAACGTTAACGACCAATTAATGGTTAATGGTTATTTTCATTGGCGTAAATAAGAAATCTTGKGGTGACTTATAGTCCCACAATTTAAGTTGTTATCAAATAAATACTATATTATTTATCATTATTTTTTCACAAATTAAAAAAAAGTATTAACGTAATAAACATAATGATAATTATCAAATTATAAAATGTTGCTTTTATAATACAGAAGTTCTGATAAATGAAATTACAAAGTTAATCATAAATGAATTCATAAATTTATAATGAATGATGATGTTTCCAACAATGTATTCCAAATATTTTCAAATTGTTAAAGACTTAACCTATGTAATAGCAACTATAGCAGCTAATAGCTAAACATTAAGACGCCATTCTTTTTGTGTCGTGAGACCGAATCATGAACCAGCTTTAACCTTGTGTTTTTGCTTTGTGTCTTCTAAACTTCGAGAGAAAAGTACCTATTCAATATAGACTCAGAAAATATTGTGAATTAATATGATGATAAAAAAACTTTATATATTTGGCTAAGATAAAAGTATGTATATTTAGGTAGATTTGTATTCGTATATAAAATAATAATTTTTATTTTAATGGTGCTCCGCATGTTTTCAGTTTCTTTATCAATACCTAATAATTATAATAGATATGAGGGGCTTCATAGTTATCATAGTAATATGAATAAATGATTGAATTAACCCAAATACAATTTCACACACATTACAAATTACGAATTGTATGGTTTATACGACGAGATGTCATCTATATCAAGAATCAAAATTGTAGTTAAATGTGTTTGAATTTTTATCTAGGTACGTGACGGAAAATGATTTAGATTTTCTCGGGTTGGAGTCAAAAAATATCTTTATCTAGAAGGTAAGCCCTTCGCCATATTCTTAGACGCAATTGTAGGCGAGAAATAGGGCTTGACCCCTTCCCAAATTTCCCATTAGTTCCCCAAAATATACAGTTTTTTAGTTGTGTAGTGGGATCGAAACTCCCCTCTCACATTTATGTTAAAAATATTAGCCCACCTAATATTTTAATGGATTTGCACCCTTGTCCGTACCATGAATTTACACGATGTCTCAACACTGTTTAAAACACGTTTCAAGTTTTTAATGTTTTGACTCTTTGCAACCTTACAATAACATAACGTAATAAGGAAATTTATTGAAAGACTATAAATACAAATATAACAATTGAATACGCACAGACTTTTATATTACCTATTATAAAAATAATATAGCTATAACTAAAATGTTTATCAATAGACGAAGTGTTTATGTGTTGCCGTGTTGGTTTTTTTGTAAATCGTTTWTACGTCAATCATAAAAGAATTACTTAATAATGTTATAGAGTTTTTTGTGCGTGGAAAAATAATCTAATTGGAATAGACAATAAAAATTAGTTTCGAGTTCAAGTCACGCGATTTCAGGAATATACCTGCCGTACGTATCGTCTATAATGAATGCCAGTAGGTACCTATACATAACATCAAAACAAATAAAACTGATAAAGAGTTGAATTTTGAATAACGAAAAATACAGCAAATATAATTTTAAGTTACAATACAGATTATTTAATGAATAGGTATTCAGTTAAAATGAACCCTATAATATATATTATACCTATGTATTGACCACATGTTAACAGCATAGTTTTCATATTATTAGTAAAATAAAAACCATTGAGAAATTTAAATCTTAAAGGATACATAAATTAAATCACTTACTTTCTTATGTTACAATAAAATATGAAATGAATCTAGAAATATTAAAGTACCTCTTAAATTCGAGCATGAGCAAATCATTTTTAAACAGGTGAAATTTTTTTTTGAATACCTATCGCTGCAATTTTTTCTTTTATCCATTCAGTATATAAACTAAATTTAACTATGATATAAAGATATATATACCTATGAGTTGTCTTGAAATCTTCTGAAAATTCAATCGTCTGCCGTCTATTTAAAGGATAATAATAGCTATGTTGCCAGTGGAGGTCCTTGACCAATTCCAGGGGGGGGGGTGAAATATTTTTCACATTAAATACATTAAGTACTCAAAAATAGAAGTCATAAAAAAATGTATTTCATGTAATAATTTTAAATTTTATATTTAACCAAGGGGGGGGCGATCCACCCATCCCTCCGTAGGACCGCCACTGTATGTTGCTATATGTACATATTATATAGGTTAGGTACAATATTAGGTACAAGATACTAGAGTGATCATAATATTTTTACATTCCTACGGTTTCAAAAAATAGAAGAACATATATTATATTATATTGTTAACCTAACCTATGAAAATGAAACTATGAAAGTAACAGGACAGGAGTTTTTTCACAAAGTTTTTTTTGACATTTCAATTATTTTATTTTAAATTGCATTACGGAGTAATGTCCAAGGTACAAAATATATTAAATGTATAGGAAAAATATAACTGATATAAATATTACATTTAAGTCTTATCACAGATATAAAGKCCTTAAAGGCTAAAGGGATTCTCGTTTGCTTGTCGCATAATTTGATGAATAGGGTGGTTCCAGCCTTAGTTTGTCGAGGAACATAGTAATGAGAAGCTGGCTTGGAGAATCTGCTCATCGGAACTCTAAAATCCACATCCGCATGAAGCTCAGGTGACAGGTACCTACATTGTATGACTAATTGTAGTTAAAAGTTGATTAGGTGATTAGGTAAACAGTACTTTGAGTAATATAGGTAGGTATACTGTGGTCTTTATAATGATGTTATATATAGGTAAAATACAAAAATTGATTTTTGAATGTTCGTATTTTATTAACGACAATAACGATTTACCACAGCTTGAAATGTAGTAATATATAAAACTGAATGGTTTACCTACCCTGCCTATAGTGTTTAATATAATAATGTGASCTAAATTAGCTTGGCAATACAATTTATTGTAGTCTGTCGAAGTCTAGACATTATAGTGATTAATAATTGAGTACCCACATTTATCGGGGTTCGCACGAAGTTTTGAATTATTAATTTTTGTGCAGTGTGCAATTGAGTAAAATATGCAATTACCAGTTAAGCGATGTTAGGTCTAAGTAAATTATTTTCTAAATATATATACAAGGAAGTATTTCGGGGGTTACGAGATTTAAAGATTCTGAGTGGAGCACTGAATAAATATAATGGTTTTACAATGATGTATTACGGTATTATGGGTGGGTTACTACTTACTAGTTTCTGGTAACAAATTGGATTTAAATGGTTATTTGAGGGATAAAAGTTGATAATTTCAGTACGTCTTTTCAAAATACTAAAGAACAACTAAATAAAAAAACATAAATATATGTAACAACATCCAGGGCCATATTTACGCTACGCATGGAAAAAATAGACATTAATTGTCCTGGGCCCACCGGTGACTAACGACTATGCAATATATTTATATATCACACATGATCCAATTTATATATTAAATAATATGCATATATGGCCCATTTTTTTATTTTACCCTGGGTCATATGTTTGATAAATCAGGCTCTGACAAAATTAATTTTTCACAAATCCAATTTTGTTATAATTTAATAATTTCTTTTTAAATCATAACAAAATTATAGAGGCTTTAATCTATCCCTAATAAACATCGAAGTAAGGATTTTCTAGATATGTTTTGAGCTATCTATGAACATTTGACATTTTAAACTTTTTTTCGTTTTATAATAGGTAAAAAATCTCAAAAATGTATTACAAGGTTGATGGTTCCTCAAAAGTTATTATTATAATTTATAGCGATATTATAAAAGCATCAAATATTGGGTTATTATAGGAATAACAAATGACAATTTTAGGTATAAGTATGATATGATATTAGTAAAAATAATTTTTTTATTATTTTAAATTGTACTAAATTATATTACACCACTGTTCATGATTCTTCATGATGCTTACGGTGACCGATGAGGACATGAGAGGTAAATGTAAAATGGGTTGATATCATAATAATTAAGATTCTATAGTTTAACCTAATGTATGAGTGTACGATGGAAAAATAAATTACAAATGTTTATATTTTAATATAATATTATATACATGATACATCCAAACATCATAAAAATAAATGCTTAGAAATGGAGACTGACAGTGCTCTTAAYGAACGGTGTAAACATTACAGATCTCATTGAGTACAGACGAGCGCTAACACATAAACCGACTAAACAGTCTAAACCGAGCAACACGGTTTTCGATTAGACCAGAAATCTTATTTTTATCTCCAACGAAGAATAATCATAAATTCATAACAGTGATTATTTCGTCGCGCGTTTTTCTTCCGTTTTAATATTGTACGGTAGCACGCGTTATCAGTGACATTGCCACTATTGCCAGCCGTGGCCGCCTCGTTGATTGCTAGTGTACTTGTGTGCCGGCCAAATACGCTGCACCTAGCCAGCAGGTGGTGCCCACGTTATTGTGTATCATATTATAATATACAGATTCGAATGCGTTACGTGTAAAAGAATTAATAACAATAATAATATGATGTACATAAATAATATGTCGCCACACAAAATAATTATAATTTTTTTTTTTTTTTTAATTTCGTCGACAAAACCGAACGAACACGTTGTCAAGAACAATTGAACAAACGATACGAGCAAAAACCCGCGTAAAATATTTCCCAATCATCACAATAATAATAATATTGTTATTATTGTTGTGTGCGCGCGCGCATGCATGCACACACACTCAGACACCAGCGCCCGATACGTCGCCGTCGGAGCAGCAACGACGACGGTCAGGTCCGCAGGTGGTGCGGACACGACGGTCGGTGCCGGTGCTGGTGCAGCGGTGGCGGCGAGTGGCAACGACGACGACGACGACGACGATAAATTATAATTGCGCGGCGGGCGACGTCGTATCACACACACGCACACACACACACACACACATGCTCAAACGGTGACGGCGGCGGCGGTGAATATTATGTAGGTTTACGGAGTAGTGGCTGGTACCCCGCGCTCCACACCACCGTCACCGCAACCGACGCCGTAGTGGCGTACTCGCATCGTTGTTGTAGCCGTCGACGGCTGCCGTGGTGGGGATCGGCCGTCGGCGCAGTGTTCGGCCGCAACCGCCGTCGTCTGCTGTGTTTGGGCACGTTCCATCCCCGGCGCGCAACAGCGACAGCACAAGCCACAAGCAGGCAGCGGCAGCACGAGCGTGAGCGGTGGCCGTGTATGTCGACGTTTAACTCGTATGAACGTTTTATAACTACTACTATTCACTTCGTTTTTTTCGCCTCTCGGTAAAATCGCGAATAAAATTCCTCTGGTGCGGTGCGGTCCTCGGACACGTCGTCGACGATAAAATCCAATCTCGTCGTCGATCTTGTTGTTGTTTACGTCCGTCCGCGGACTCGGTGATAATAGACAGGACCGATAATATTAATAATAATAATAATAATCGGTCGTGTGTGTGTTGCGCGCGCCAGACGGTTACTTGTTGATTTTTTTCCCGATTTTCTTTCTGGACGCGTTTCCCCCGTCCACCTCCCGCTACACCGACCCTACCGAATCGGATTCGACGTCGTCCGTCGCGCGTTTCGTGAGCATCTCGCTCGCACGCGTCACACACACACACTTGCTCACTTCGCGCACATACACACACACGCTCGCTCGCCTGCATACGCACTTACACGGGGACGTAACTGACAAGTACACACATACACGCGAGCGCGCGCGCGCATACACACACGTATAGTCGCTCTTGCACACATTCACGGACCGGATGCCAAAATAATCGCGCAGTCCGCTTTTCCGCCGGATGCAGTAGTGACCCGTGAAAACAGCCACAGACTCCGTCGAGACACCGATGCGAAGACGGTCGACATGTAGACGTCATGATCGACATGATCCGCCGGCCGATCGTCGCCGTCGCCGTCGTCGTAGCCGCCATACCACTTGGCCACCACCACCTCGAGGGTGCACCGTCGTCTTGAACAGCCGCCATGGACCATTCGGCTGCGGCGGTCCACACGTCTAACGAAAGGTATGTGTCGCGACTGTCGTCTCTTCGCCGCCGTATAATATAATATATTTTATTATTAATGCTGTGTTGCTGTTACGTCCGGCTTTATTGTCGCTATCTATAATGTCACCATCGTTTTCGTTGTCGTCCACTCGACGACGGCCCTAGCCACATACCATGAGTCCTCCACTCGCCGTTTAATTTTAATTTTTTTCACCGTCTAGCACCGTRACAACGGTGCTTCGAGTCTAAAGGTTTGTCYGTTGCCTGAGTTCTGTTGCCAACAAACACCAGCCAGTTGCCCACTTGTGTTCCTTGGCTTTCAAGGTCGACATAGTAAACCATCTGCTTATCTGTTTGGCTTTCTTTCATCATACATTTCACAGCACATCCTGTTTACAAGTTTTATATATTTACATATGAACAAGTGTCATTTTTGCAGTATTAGAGTGTTAATTTATATTATTCTCTTCTCTTTTGTTTACTTTATTTTTTAAAATTGAGGTGATTAAACCAAAACCCAAAAATCTATTTGGAACGCGTAGATTTCAATCAAGAGCTCACATATTTTCTTGCTTTTCGTTTTTGTTCCAAGTATTATCTTTTATGATTATGAAAAATTATTTGGGTAAAACTAGTATGATAACCTACATGCCTATTTTAATTTTATCTATATAGGTACATTCCTTTTGACAGTATTTCTAAATTTTACCTTTTACCCTTATTTAATATTTTAATAAAGATAATTATTATTTTTAATTAAATAAACCCCTAAAATAGCACAAGTATACCTTGCCGTGATAACAATCAATTTAATTTAGGTAGGTACCGAACTAATTAAATTATTGCACCCAGTAGGTAGAAGTTAAAAATATTATTTTACATCTGTCTATAACAAAATATGACATGATATTTTAAAATATTAATTTAAGTTGTTAAGATGCACCTATCTAAACGTTTTGAAAATAAATAAAAGACTATTTAAATAGACGCTTTTAATAACTCAACTATTTTTGTTAATAAATTATAATATAAAATAACAATTGTTTTCAATAAATTCTATTACCTACCTATCTAATAATCTAGTTGAATGTTTCTTAAAATTTACTCTTGTCTTTACTTGTTCTTGGGCCTTATTTATACTTCACTTGTTTTAATTTTGTTATGGTAATTGATAAGTAGAATAGAATATAATGCCTGCATTTTGTCAAATATTATTTTTACCAATTGATTGAACTACTTATCCATTATAATTTGTAGGTACCTACCATAAATAAAAATCAAATTAAGTAATATCTCGAGTAATATTCAGTAATATCAACTATTGAATGATTGTTGTACCTATGTTATTTAAAGGATTATAAATAACAAAAAAATATTGGGTATATAACATGTAAGAAATAAGGATATTTTATGAAAATATCTAATGGAATATGAATACGTAAAGAAGGTATTCACCATATTTATTAATTATTTAGGTGAAAAAAATTCTTTACTAATAGTCAATAATGTAGGCTACTTATGGGATATGGTAAACAACTTGGGCTACAAATGAGATTTGTTGAAAAAAATACAAAGTTTACATTGTATGTAAACAATTAAATCCATTTGTTGTTTTCTAAAAATAACTTAGAATTCATCACATTAAATTTCTGGCTAGCAGTCGATTGGTGTCAAATTAATGTTTAGTTTTGAGTAACAGATAACTAATATTTATTTATTTTTATATGATACAGATTAATTTTGTTTAATGCCTAATATAGTTAAAGTTTACTTAAAAAATTATATGGATTTGCTGAAATTATATATTAGGTATCTATATTATCCAATAAATATTTAATACAGTGAAGGGTAGGTACATTATTAAACTATTATAGTATTATTATGAATTTAGGATTTATCATCAAATGATTTTTATTTTTAGGATTAGTATATTTATTAATTTATCATTAAATAATAATAATGTGGTTATGGTATATTATTCTAATTTATTTTACTTAATAAGTATATTGATATTGATGCGGTTATTTTTTACACATTTTAATGAATATTGTTACTAATAATATACAATAGTAAAGGTTTTGGATTGAAAAAAAAATATATGAGGTTTAACTCAATTGGTTCAGTCCAAACCAAAATTTAAAATTATAATAACTTAATAATTATACAAATTGCTTTTACTTTGCTTTTAAATATTGTTATATTTATCTATTTATTTTACTTTAAGAATAACGCCAACTGACTTTCACAAAAGTTTTAACGATAATTTAACACGATACTACCTAGTGCAATACTATACAATATAAACTATGAAACAATACGAGTTTAACAGTAAATAAACTAAAAACAATTTAAGAGCAAAGGTTAGGTTAAACTAGAAGGGTAGACCTGAGCATTTTATGCATGGAGTGATTGTGGCTGAAAGAATTGGAATGAGTAAGAATATTTAAAGGAGTATGATTACAAACATTGTAAGAGGATTCTTTAAATAAAACTTAAGAAAGAAGTTCTGGTACATTTATAAAATTATTAAGAAGTGCATAAATGACCTGAATATCATTTAATTATAATAACGTGTCAATACAAAGAAAGTATATTTAGATCATGGCTAATATCGGAATAGTTGTGTTGCTGTGAATGTAGGTATTTAAAAAATAAAAGTTGCGTATAATAAAAATATATGTTGGACGCTCTCAAGACGTAATTGATATTTAGCAATATGAGGGTGTCAGACAATAACCCCTTTCTCTAGTATGGATCGAACAAGGGAAAAATACAACAAACCCGACAACAAATAAAAACAAGAGCTTAGTATTACGTTTAATAAAACCTAAACCTTTAGAACATGACCCATTATAACATCACTGTGATGGATAAAAGTGAGAGTGTATGAGTAATAACTACTAAGATCTTTTACAATTGATACCCTTTGTAACTTAGAGTTGTTAAGCTCGTAGAGGAAGTGTTTCTAAAGAAAGATATAACACTAATATTGCTAACAATAAAAGAAAGACCAAAATTGGACACAAAAATTATAAATTGATTAAGTTCATCTGATGAAAGTGTATCAATTTTGTAGAATATTTATAGACATAGAGAAGATAATGAGATTTTTTGAGATAACTGAGATCACATACAGGCAAAACAAGAGAGGACTCAAATGTTCCACTTGTGGTACTTCAAAAGTGACAGCAACCAATTTTGAAGAAATACCATTTAAGGGGATTGGAAGCGGTGATTTTCTGTCTTTGTCTAACACACGTGAGACATACACTACGCCTAACAAAAATTAAGGTACTTCTAGTTGTTCAATTTAAAATATGTGAAGATGTGTTAATTGGTATACAAGTTTATTTTGCATCGGTCGAAGCACTTTTTCGATTGTAGCAATATTTTGATAAGAATAAATATTTTAAATTTTATAAATTTGTCAATTTTTTTATTAAATATATTAAAAATATGCTTCAACCGATGCAAAGTTAACTTGTATACCAATTCAAAAATCTTTACATATTTTAAATCGAGCARCTAGAAGCTCTTTAATTTTTATCAGGTGTATTGTATGTTCCACGTGTGTTAGACAAAGACAGAAAATCACCACTTCCAATCCCCTTAACTTAACAAATTATATGGTAGATATGTATAAACAGAACAAAAACATTAAATGTTATACCAATATGATCAAGTTTGTTAAAAAAGAAGGTTTGTGGAACAGTGTCAATAATTTTATAAAAAAAACAGTTAAGATGATATCAACCTAAGGCTGTCATAAATATAGGAAATGAAAAATACGAGGAAAGATACATTATGTAAAATAAATAATTTATTATTAATTAAAAGAGGAAATTAACACATTTTATGCRAATCTAAATTGAATGGATTGACTCTAAATTGTGGAACCATTTTCATATGACTATTAAGTATGGTCAGTGGCTTACATAGGATGGGTACTAAGGTGCTGAAGTCTCCCTTCGCCCAATCAAATAATTTTTTTATTAGCATTTTTAGAATAAAAACTTATTGTTGTTAACATTTATGATTTTGAGGCTTTGGTGCCTATCTCCATCGTAGAAAAATCCTTCAATTATACATTAATGAAATAACTCCCTTGTGATTTTTTTATTTAAGACATTTTTGTGTTTCCTGAAAACTGCGCTTTTCAAATAAGAGGTTTTTTCTCGTCATTGACATGATGTTAATCTAATACAATCCAGGCAAAAACCGTTTAACCAAGGTTACCAAACAATTTTAACAAATTTTCATTTATGTACTTTTGTTTTTCCCGATTATTTTAAAAAGTACTGATAATTTCCAATCTCATTTCCAATCTTGATTTCCCAAAAGTATCAACTAAATTTTCATGCTCTCCTCATTCATAAGATACGTATGCCACTGAAAAAGATGCAATACAATACATTTTTATTTTATATTTTTTTAAGATGAATAATGAATTACATACATAATAGATATCTAATTTGGATATTATTTTATTTTGTATACTTGTAAAGGAAAGGATTGTTAGAACATAATTTGTAAAGGTTTCCAAGTTAGAACTAATAAAAACTACAAAATTGATGTGTTGACCTCTTTTTCATTCACCTAACCTACTGAATACTAAAAATAAATAAATATGCTGAACATGGTTGAAGGTATAATTGGGGAATTTAAATTAATAGATTTTAAACATATTTTATTGTATTTACTTTTTACTTACAAAGATGTTGCAATTTTCCATTGCAACTTTTAAGTCTAAATACCTCTGTGCTTGTAGTTTTTAATACACATCTGAATCCTTTATTTTAATAAAATCAAAATGATATAATTATTTCAAGATCTATTAAAACAACTGATTTTTTATATCAACAACAATTTTTATTTTTGAAAATTAATTTTAAATAAACAAATAATTTTATTGCCTAACTATGAAGATTATGGCATTCTAAAATAATAATAGTTTGTTAAAGGATTTTTTTTAAATATAAGTTTGAATTAACTGATAGAATTATGGACATCAAATTAATAACTTTACTTATACTATTAATTGCTATCACAGAACCATGGTTATTTAATACAAACCATGAAGTCTAAAATAAGGTGATCAAGCTCATGTGGCCAACCATATGAAAATATCTCCCGTTATGAGTCACAAAATTAAACAGCCAAAGGCCTGCTATGCATGCCTGGAGGACCCTTTTTAAATTGTATAGCTCTTATTATTATGCATTCATAAATTTTAATAATATGTGTATATTTCATAATATTTTTTTTATTGTTTAAATTATTTAACTATACCAACCGTTAACACTATATCTACTTATTTTATACCTATATATTGTTATTCATAGTAATTATTCTGAAACTAATACTATCCGATACACCATATCCATGGACACTTGTCTTCTTGAAAGATTGTTTTATATTGCGTGACCCATTTTAAGACAATATCAGAAGCTGAGTTAGATCTGCTTACCTATTCTAGTTTCCATAGTTATAACCATGTACAGTTCTGATGAGTGATGAGTGTGATGACATTCTTACGTACACACATAGACATAGTATTGTCTTTATAGGTATGTTGTACACTCTATTTATATTTTGTTATGATAAATATGTGTACTTCACGATTTAT